CTTCCCAGTATTAGTTTCGGCTTTCAAATGTTGTTTATATACACATGCTGAATGAAATCAGCTGAAGCAGTAGTAGATTATGTATATTTTTTTATCATTCTGTTATGTGTGTATCATAAATCTTGTCGCCTGTCAAGCAAATCATACTAAATCTCTGCTTTATTAGCGGTGTGTTGTACCCGTCTCACAACGATTGAGCAAATTGAATAGAACAGTGCCAGTCAAAAGGACACTTGAAGAGAGACAAATGAGAAGGAGTGAGAGAGAAAGAGGCTGAAAAAAGAGGGAGAAAGGAATGAAAACTTAAAGAGCTAAAATTAACCTTTGCGCATTTCAGCAATTTTCAAATGGAATTTATCGTTTTCCTAATGAAATACTCTCTCTGTCTCTCGACTTTATGACATAATTTTCCATGGAACCGAGAGATAAAAACACTCAGTCATTCCAAACTAAAATGTACCGGCGGAACGTTTCTTACTTTTTTCTGCATGCAAAAATAGATTTGTTTTCTTTTCTGCTGAAAATAGATTTTTTCTAAAATTGAAAAATGCGCGCGAATTTCCGGTGTCATTTTTGCCGAAGAATTTTTTTTTTGTTTTTGTTTTCAGCCTTTGGCACGTATAATTGGTTATAAAAATAAATAATCGCAGTCATTAAAATTGCAATTCAAACCGTAACGATTTCATGGTCATCCGTATTTTATCACTTGCATTTTAAACGAGTTCATTGAATATTAATTAAACGTCAAGCGTAATTGATTCATTTAGCAAATGGCTTCCTGTAATACACAGCCGATGAACGATCATCATTTTTTTTTTTAAACTGCTTGGATGGTGTTAAGCGACTTGTTCCACTCGATTTTCGTTTCTCTTTCGTTGTGGATCACGATTCACCGACCATCAACATCACGAATGAACATCTCTTTTAGGGAATTCATGATTTTCAACCGAAAAAAACACATGAAATTCACTCTTCACTTTCTTCATGACAAATGGTGGCGCGATTGATCGGTAGTACGTGTTCTCATATACATGATGTGTAATAATCACCATTCGAACTCGTTGTTCTTCTAAACGAGCCACTCAATCACGGTTTTTTTTGCGAAACGTTTTTTTTTGTTGTTGCCTCCTCTTCCGAAAACGGCGAAAAGAGATGAATAGAGAATTTTTCTGCCGACAAAGTCAAATTTTGGTGAATTGAGCACATAAGATCAATAGGACGAGGCGAAAAAGCCAAAGTACTTTGTGCTGCTTCGGTGCAATTTGCATTGATGCACACACAGGAGAAAGAAAGAAAACGAATGGTATCAATGCACGGAGCAAACAAAAAATTGTATGAAAATTGCAGAAAATTTACACAACTGAAGGGCATATCGGAATGCAAATCGAATCAAACACAAACAAATTGCATCGAATTAATGAAAATTTATTAACATAACCAGTTTTATGAGCGCTTGCTGGGGCGCACACATGCATTTGGCAAGGCTGTCAAAAATCGAGCTCAGTTTTAAAGCCGAAAAAATCCATTCACACTAAAAACCCCGTCCGCAGCAAGTGAGAAAGAGAAAGAGTTTTTTGCTTTCTTGAAGTGGCACTTTAGCATCTTTTTGTGCTTGGCAAAGAATGTACACAAGAATTACAAAAATATTCTTTAAAAATTTGTTGAAAAAAAAGGCACAGAAAATGCTGTTGAAGTATTTGGCTTAAGCACGTTCAACACTGTGCGATCACAAGTTCATGGCTAAACGGCATATCGTTTGTATATATGTTGCTATCGGCATTTCAATCGTGTCGTGTTTTTTCTTACTGCTCGTTCGTTCATTTTTCGTCTAACCGAATTTTTATTTTATTGGCGAAAATTGAATAATTTCAAGAATGATGCAGAATATGTAGAGGGAAAAAAATGGGAAAAGCCTCCCACCGATCATAAATATTATATTTTGCGTTTCGATATGCATCTCATCTGCTTGTAGTCATGAAGCAATTATGTTTAATTTATTGTTGGTCCACGAAACACACTACATTTTGGTCGAACGCTTTTTGGTCTTTCGTCTGCCAACTAATGCCACAAAAAGAAGAACAAGCGGCAAAAATGAAACGAACACTTCAATTTAACGATGCTGCTCGTTGCAGCGCCGATACACACGTAAAACGAAGAGATGAACGAAATGCAACGACAACATTTAATACGCAATAAATTTCGCCTATTGACGATGGATTCGTAAATTTCTTCTTTTTTTTTTGGTTTTCAATGCATGCAAACCAATTTATGTTCGGTTTGTTCTAGCTACTGAATAACGAAATACGGAGATAGAGAGGAGAGAGATAGAGAATAGAGAATTGTGATGTGATCGTTTGATGAGGCTTTCAATCTTTTCATTCAAATGGTCAAACCATAAATGTATGATGGTGGTGTTAAAAAACACATCATTTTGCAATGTGATTTCGTTGAGCATCATAAATCACAAATCTGATTTGCAATTTGTACCTTTGAATGAGCAACTCAAACCCTTGAAGCCTTTCCATCTCGCGATTTCTGCAACTGCTTACGTATATACTTGCGCCGAATGAAGTGCGTTATCTGATGGTGTTGGCTGTTTCACCTTTTCTGTCGAATGAATCATTTCACTAAAATAGATAGCACCAACGTGTATACGAAATTTAAATTGTTTGAGATCGCATAGTAAATGAAGAGGAAAAATGCATTAACTCAGAGCATTTCTGTTTGTTTGTTTGCATTTTGTCTTTGATGTTGTTGTTGAACGTTGAAGTGCTCATTTGTCACTGCTGCTTGATGTGAATTCTGATGAAACGTCTTTGCATTGCACGTGCTATTTCCTTTTTAACTCTTTCTTTCGTCGGATTTTTTTGTTTTGCCTCGTAGACGAGATCAAATATAATAAGCACGTTTCAAAGCAATCATTAGCTCAATTCTAATTCGTTTCGAAAACGATGAACACATAAAATCAAATGAAATACAAAAACAAACGAAAAAATATTCAAAATCTGTCTATAGAGCGAAAGAGAGAAAGAAAAGGGATAGAAAGTGAAAAAAAACACATATTGAAAATGTGTAAAAATATCAAACATTTTTTTTCGGTTTCAATGAGTCGAAATTGGCTTTGGATTCATTGAAAAACCACTCAGCCCAACAACACTCATTCGCATTTCACCTTTTAATGGTAGCGACATAAATGCATTATTTCTCTCATTTTAAAACGTAAATAAAAAATGAAACCAAAAACAATACATGTGTATTTATTGACACTGGCTTGTGTGTGGGTGTAGTCAGAGTGCTATTGAGAAGGTAGTGACTGCAAAATATGTCGATATTTTCTTGACGTTGCTCGAAACTCGTTCACATCATTATTTGTTTCTACATGCTAATCAGTTTGACTGTTTGACCCTTCGGCGTCGAAATATGTGTTTACATTTTCGCCTCTCAATATTGTTGGTGTTCGCTTGTTGGGCCTCTTAAACTATGTATGTTTTTATGAAATGCATACACGCACACCATGAATATTCATTTCAAAATCTACCGCACACAATGTGTGCATTTCGAACGCATCCAGTACATTAATCAAGAGTGATGGATGACTTACCTGTGCCTCCGATGGCATCGCGCGATTTGCTAACTAGTAAAACATCAATAATGACAACGATGTTAACGTGAAAAGCCGTATAAATTACCTTTGGGTTGTGTGCATAGCTCTCATGATTTGCTTTTTTATGTAACATCACGTTCTGAACTAATTGATTCAATTATGTAGCGCTGCTTTTTTTTTTTCATATAAAACAATTCATTTTTCTCATCAACGCAAAGGCTGCAAACCACAATTTTTTTTTCTGCTTTCAGTCGATTGATATTTGATGCTTGGCGTCGAGATTGAATAAACATGAAAGATAGATCAGAAATTATGATGATAATCTATCTCATTTGATACGGCTCATTTGATTCGGAGGTCTTTGTACAGATGTGTGGCATCGTAAACCACACGATAAAATCTGCGCAACAAATGGAATGTTTACTCTTTTTATTTTACATTCCGTTCAATTTACACCCTGTGCAACTTTCTGATTCAAGTCTTGACATTTTGCAAAATCCAATGATTTTGATATGCATCAATTTGAATAACAAAGTCCGTTATTTACAATGCAATTAAATTCACAACAATCAAACATTAAATCAAGCAATAAATGTTCATTCACACAGTTTTGCTTCGGGGGGCAACTCACAGTTGATCAATAACACCTAAATCAAATAGATTTCTTCACTTTTCTTTCATCAAAGTAGCTACAAGATGATGAAGAAAAAAATTCGCTTGTAATACATGAAATAAACAATTTTAATTCTCTATTATACATCAATCAAAAGCTTCAATTTCAAATAAATACACCACCTACGGCCTGTAGTTGACTGGAATGTTTGACAAAATATTGAATAATGACTGACATCTTTTATGAGTCTATAAAATATACTCTATTGGATATACTCTCTCTCGCTCTATGTACATTTCGTGGCAATGGTTTTATGTACATCATTTTCACCGTTCAAACAGATTAAACGCTCAATTGAACTTTGATGCGTTGAATTTAACGACTGTTTTCCTCTGCTCACTTCTCAATATACCGTGTGACATCGTTTTGCTTTACAAGCATGAGAGAGAGAGAGAGAGAGAGAGAGAGCTAGAAAAAAGTATGGATTAAGAGTCAGTGTAAATAGTATTTAAAGAGATTTTTAAGTGGATTCAAATGGAATTATGAAGTTCAGATCATTTAAACTAATGCACGTGTCGTAAAAAACAATAAAAGTCGCGCCACGCTTTGAATTTTGTGGATCGAATTAATATCATTTCAAGTCATTTAATTTTAAATGTTCAACCAATAAACTATTATGTATATACAGTTGTTTTGTATTGTAATAACCGTTTAAAATCGAAACGATGACGAATGGATATTTCATGTAATCTAATTAAGTTTATTTTATTGATCAATTTGCAGATTCATTGCATACTCAAGGTCCATTGGATGGTTCATTGTATGCGACAATTCTAAAGAGTCCAAAATCCCCATTGAAATCGCCAACATTTCCGCCAGCATTTATTTCAAACATAGTCAACAACAATCATCAACGATCGTCTACAAATTTAAGTGTTATTTCGTCAACACCAAAAACATCGTCGACGCAAAATTTAATATCGCCACCGCCCGAATTTAGCAATAAAAAAATTGTCGAAATTAAAGAGTGCTACACAACACTCAGTCCGATTGGTGCATCACCGAAAATTGATAGTAACCTAAGCGCACAAAATAAATCGCTTAGTCGATCATATACATCGACGCCGAGCTACGAAGAAATCCAAGTTCCATCGCGTAGTTCATCGCGAGAGGCAACGCTTCGTTATCAAACAGCACCACGGTCAAGTAGCTCATTATCGACGGTTTATCAACAACAACCCGATCTACCGCAACGCTCATCATCGGCTTCACGCGCCGGAAATTACACATCAAACCAATCAAATCAATATATTCGCACCACTGTTGTCGACAATTATAATTACGTGAATGCTGTACAGAATGGTAATCGAAATCAATCATATCAAGATGGCAGAGAGTCCGTTAAAAGCCCATTAACATTGTCTATGGACTCGGGCATTTCAAGCAGTGGCATTGCAAACAGTAAGTGATGTATAACACTTCATTTTGTTGAATCAGTTCGGTAACATGATGATATGAGAAAGAAATTAATGAACACATGTATCTTTTTTTCTTCATCAATTATAGGACGTATTCAAGGATCAAGTGTTTCACCGTCAAGCTATCCAAGCCAAAGCCCACAAGGTAAGCATTTTGGTCTTCCATTATATTGGCAACTTTTCTTCTTCTTCATTTCGGCGCTGCTTTATTGAAACTCTCCAATTTGATTTATATGAGTGAAGTCAAAACATAATTTGAATTTATAAAGAGAGAAAAAAGTGTTCACTTTCAATGTGATTCGACTACACTTTGTTCACCTTAAAAGGCGGACATTTATACGAAATTGTAAGAATTGGTGACGATTTCAATCGTGTTTTCTAGAGAAATGAATAAAATGTGTCGTTTATATGCCATTTGTATGCGATTTACACACAAATGTTCAAACATTACATTTCTAAAAATATCCAAACAAGCTCATTTATTAAATGCCATGCAATTTTTCAATTTTATTTTTCATTGTGCATTATTCGTTTCGCTTGTTGCCGTGCAAATTGCTGGCAAAACAAATGAGCAATGAAAAGTAACGAAAGAAATTTTGGTCGGTTTAGCGTGACTATTTCAAAAGGCAACCAATTCACCGTAAACAAAATGCACGAAAGGATTTTACGAAATTTCGTTTAGAAGAATTGTACGAGTGTTGGCGTCCAGCGGTGCTGAATCTAAACGGAAATACAGCGTTCAAATGAAAAGTTGTCATCTTCGCACTTTTCAGAGATGCAAGACGCCACACATATTAGCATTAAATTACATTTCATCTCAAGCGTGAACAGAGAGAGAGAGAGAGAGAGAGAGAGAGAGAGAGAGAGAGAGAGAGAAACTGGCAGTGAGCACTTCAGACAAAGTGAAAATGCAACTTCGTCTTCAACTTTTCTTGCTCTCTTCATTTGAGAAGAAATAACTTTTGAATTAAGAAAAAACAAGTGGCAGCCACCTATGTAATCGTTGTGATCTTTTGGAAAATATCATCGCTTACCATCTGCGTATTTCAAAGCTTCGTCGCTTTTTTTTCTGCACATTTGATCAATTTCTTTTCATTTTTCCTACAAGCTCATATAGCTACTTCTTTTCTGCCATCATTCGAATGACCAAATATGCAATGTTTTGATGAGTCTATTGTGTTGTATGATCGAATAGTGTGATCTTTGTTTGCGTACGCTTGGTATAGATTTTCACTGTTTCCAAGATTTTATCGCATTGGAAAAGGCTATGTGAGCGAATATGCGCAATTTCATTTTGTTCGTTAAGCAGCGACGTTACTTTGAAAACAAAGAAGAAAAAGAAATTAACCTTAAGCGCGCATGCATTCAAGTTGCAAGTGATTTCATTTTTCCTGTTTGCTTTTTTTGTTTCTCTTTTCCGTTTCTGTATTTTTTTTTTTGTGTTGTGTTTACATTTAGATCGTCACCAAGAACTGGATGACATCCTAAGTGATATGCTATTGACTGTTCAAGGCATACCGGATATTGGAAAAACGCAACAAAACCGTGAAGTCATTCGAAAAACAACGACAACAACGCAAAATTCGACCGTTCAAAATCAACAAAGGCCGCAATTGCATCTACAAATACCAAAACAACAACAACCGCCGCTGCCGTTGTCGCAACAACAGCAGCAGCATCTGCATTTACAGCCACTGTACGGCAGTACAAATACGGTGAAACGATCTCAATCGTATACATCGCAAGACGAAAGCAATTGCAGTACAATCTCACGATCGACCGTACACACAACAGGTCACATACGAGATCGTGTTTGTGGAGACTTTTACGATACGGCAAGCACAACGACCACGATCACACCAACACCAAGCGAAAGTGGCCGAATCACACCGTTTCAACAGCAACACCAATACACACGCAACGACAATAAACTAACGCAACAAGCGATCGAACAACGTGAACGCGAACTCATCATGGATTTGCAAAATCAGTCGTTCGATTATTCGCATCCGTTGCGGACTGGTTCATCGGCAGCTACAGTCAACGATTTTAAATCGATAAAAGTGAACAATAGCGGTGTTACATCGGAAGACGACGAATCGATTCCATATCACGCACGTGAGGATTCGAGACCATTCACGTATGGTGATGCCACTGGCGTACAATTGAGCCCGACAAGTATACGAAAAGCGACGGGTACAGCCACCGGCACAGGAATGATTAAATTACAATCGGGCCTATCGAGCCCATCGCTTGTACGAAAGCATCTCGGCTCAAATGCAACAAATCCACCGACAACAGCACGAAAGAGCCCAAACAATGGACGCAACGATTTCGAAGAAATGCTTTTGCAACGTCGTGAAAAAATTCTCAACGATAAATATTCGATTGGCGATAAAACACCGAATGGTAACAGTGTTTCCGAAACAAACAACTTAAATGCGAGTGCAACAAATAAATGGAATACCAGCAGTAATACATTAAATGGATATCAATATCATGAACCATTAAAACGATCTAATACAATGGACGGTGGTTTTGGACGAGGAAATACAAGTGGATACGTTTCAGATGGGTAAGTTGACAATGTTGTTCTAGTTTTGAAAGTGAATTAAAAAAAAATAACACAAGCGAAAGGAGAAAAAAATCAGAACCACCTGTGTGTTGAAACCAATACACCCACAGTGTTTAAATTGTCAGAATTCAATAAATACATTCACTTGATTCAAGAAATTTGTAAAAGACAAAAAAAGTCGCAATCAATTCAATAGCAACTCTTTTTTGTTCGGGAAATAAAGCAGCTTTTGAAATTCCTTGCCAAATTTGCCTATTTCGTGTTTTGGCTGTGACAACAACAAAATACACATCACTCACAAGGTCTGCCTACAGATCACGTTCTTTCAACAATGAAACAAAAAAAAAACATCTCAAATTCAAACAGTGAATACATCTTGGATTTCAGTGAATCCACTCAAAAACTGTTGGCACACACAACAATCGTACGCATTTAAAGATCTTTGGCAAATAAACGTTTATTCAAACCAATTAGTTTTGTAAACGACATTTAAATATTAAATCTTTTTTCTCTCTCGCTTTTACACCGGACAATTTGTCAAATTGCGTCGAATAATCACGACAATTAACATAAAATACATTTAGCGAAATTCAAGTTTAAGTAAAATGCAAATTTACACAGATAGAAAGAGCTGGAAAGAGAGAACAGGGACATACAAAGAGATTGAGTTAAATATTAATCGGTGTTCCATGCAAAATAAATGCGGAAACTTCAGAAGTTTGTAAATGAGCGTATAATCGTTGTAATTGCTCGAATTATAAATTGAAAAGTGTGTACTGTGAGTACAGCGAAAGAAAAACGACTAACATTGGAATGTGTCCATCGAATTCGGCCCACGCGGATTTGTTCAGTGTGGTTTACATTCGTAAATTATTTCGTCATCGAAATCAATCGATAATTCAATCAACGGAAACATGTCATTTTTCAGTGCTCGCAATGTTTGATACAACCCACAATAAAAATTCAAGCGCACAACCAAAAGCTGTTGCTGCCGTATTGCATGGCACACAAAACAAATTATCCATCGAAAATACACTGTGCAACTGAATGACTTGCTTTTCTACGAAAGTGAGATATCAATAAAATTAAATGTTCGGCACTAGAACGATTTACGATAGTTGAGAAGAAGAAGAAATAAACAGCACAATTCGAAATGAGAAAATCGAGTGGTTTTTGAGCGGTGGACATTTTATTCGTTCCTTCTTTCTTTCGCAAAACAAACAAATTTGTTGAAAATTTAAATTTACTGCATTTATACAGCGACATTTGCTGCAAATGGGATTTATGTTTATGTGCAATCAAATTTTTGTAGCGGAACACATACAACCGAATCGAACATTAAATCAGAGTGAAAACGAGATTGGATTTTTAGTGACCAAAAAAAAAACAGACATCGTCAACATTTTACGTTGTAATTACATGCCCCATTCGACCATAAAATAAAAGTCGATGCAATTAATAAATGTGTGTATGCTTCGATGCGAAATACGCATTGGGTTAGACACCGAAAATTGCAATCAAAGAACTGATTTGCAATGAGTGTTGGTTTGAACGGCATCCAAAACAAAAAAATGTTAAAAACAATTTGCGGTCGATGTGCCTTTTGTGTATTGCGTGTGCCATTCGCCCGACTCCTTGGCACCAAATCAATTCCATTTTTCTGGATGCCAAACATATTTTACAAATTGACACAAACACAAGTCAATTTCTTTTTAATTTGCATTTTTGCCCAAATATGAGCAAATGACATGCTTCCGAAATGAAGCGACAACAAACATATTAATCGAAGATATGGAAATAAAACCAAGCCAAAAAAATAAATTCGATGAAATGCAAAGTTTTTCAAAAATGTTCTCGATGCCGAACAAAAAATGAATGCGATTTAAATTTTGTGTAGGAATGTGGTGAGCAATTCTGTCGATTTCAGATCGTCATAAATGTCTTTTTTATCCATTCCCAACTAGGGCACAGAACACGCATACACACATATTCAATCGAGTCAATAGACAACAAAACTAAAAAGGAAATAAAGTAATAATGACATGTTTTCGAAAGAAAGATGAAGAAGTAGATGCGAAACACGAAAAAAACACACACCATCCAACTCAACACAGCGTCAAGAGAAATGAATACGAAAGAGCAGAATAAACGAGCAAATTTGTTAGATGTTCACATATTGGAAATATGTGAACGGTACAAACATTGAACAGTAGTTTTTCATATGCGATGCCCGTGTGTATTAAATGTTCGGTTGTTGTTGTCGTCGTCGTCGTTGTGTTGTTGGTGCAACAGTTCAGTGGATCCAAAAACTGAAACGAGCGCGCACACAATCAACCAACTTGTGTACACCGAATTGTAACTATTATTACTGTTGTCATTATCTGTTGCATTGGTGCGGCACAGGGTCGAAACTGTCATAACAAACCTCATATTATCTTTATTGTTCTATGCGTTGTTCTGGCTCTGTTGTTCTTGTTGTCGAAGTATTTTTGTTTATTTCATGAATAATTCAACAAGCGATTAAATCCTGCAATTGCAGACACACGGTGAACGATAAAGAGAGGTAGAGAGAGTTTCACGTGCACTATAATCCATCGACAGTAGCAAATGCTGATTTGGTTCTTAACTTCCAGCTGAGGTTGAGGTGAACAATTTTTACTTGTGCGTACCATCACTCGGTTTGACGTCTCTGTCGTGTGAGCCCACTGTGTGTATGGGCGCTGCGCGCATTACAATTGCAAGCTGTTTTAATCTCACTCCGTTCTTAATTCCCATGATCTTTTCAAATCAAAACAACAATAATAATCAGACAAACATCAACTTTCTTTCTATTTCAAACTCAAACACATTTTGTTCCTTTGGTTGTTTATTACAATTGCTTCGCAGTGTGCAGGGCACATATTTCCTGGAAAACGCTTAAATCCAATGGCAAACACAAAAAAATATATGTGCAAACGAAAAACATGCATCCCATGTCGAAGTACTTAACGAACTAAATTAAATTGCATGTTTTTGCCAAACGTAATGTACTTACCCAATCTCTGATAAATGCGTAGCATTTGCGCACGTCCATAATTATACATCCAAGTTTATTCAATTGAAATGCACAAACTTGGTTACAATATCTGAATTGAATGGGATGGAATATATGGCCAAATATGCAATCGATTCAATGAGCCCACAAACATGAATGCACATTTTGCGATGCGAATTCATTGATTTCACATACAAAAAAGCACACACATTGGCGATTTTCAATTCAATTTTATACGATGTACGTTTTGTATTTACTGGAGGCTACACATATCTTCTTGAATAAATAGCCGAACCGAGAGTAATTTCAATAGATCCAAGTTATTACGTATACTCACATGTGATGATTGCCGCTATGCGCTCGCGCGCACCACTTGGTTTCCCAAACGAAGCGTATAAATGTCGTTCTTTTGCTTTGCCATTTCGTCTTCTTAAATCATTCATAGCATATTCGATTCAGAAATCAGCGCGCACGCGTTTCTGTTTACGTTTTTCCCATCGCAGCCAGTGAATGACAGAGAGGCATGATGTGAATTGTTTACAGTGTAAACATAGCATACACATCGAATGAGCATATAGCTCTCTTTGTACGCCGCCCGAGAGCGAGAGAGGGAGAGAGCACAATGCACAGTCGCCGTTGTCAGACAGACACTCGTTACTACACATATATGTGTATATAATTTTTTTATGGGTTTTTCGATGGATTTTTCTAGGTTACAATTTGTGTGCGCGCAACTTTTTTTTTTTTGAAGCACGCATATGTTTTTAATAACACAAATACCGATCAAATCAAATAACCGAACGACTTTTCACTTGCAACAAACGATTGATTTACATGGAAATTTTGCATAAACATATCAAATTCAATGCAAAAGCGTTGGCGTTCAATCAAATTTACACCATTACTACACAGTCTGATGCGATGCGTTTTGGGGCGACAGTGGAAACAAACTGCTCAATCATAACAACGCACATATGAGTGTCTGTGTATGTATTTAAAAAGCAAAATAAATATGAAATAAAATACGTTCATCGCCAAATTATATTACGAGCACGTAGCAATTCCCAATGACAGTTAAACCGTTTTCTGGTTATTTGTTTCGACAGTTTTCATTTAATCGATGGGAAAATAACGTGCGAATGGATGAATTCCATTGAAATATTATGGCATCTTTTTTTGTCTCTTTGTAAATGCGCAATAAAGTTGCCGTTTCTCAACTAAAGCACATCAAACGATTCCGCTAAAGCTCAATTCTACTCATTGACGAGGTTTCGAAATAAGTAAGAAACAAACTAAGCCATAAAATGGATAAACACTAGTCGATGAATTTCGATTATTTTTTATCGCTTATCAAATTTGAAGTGATATTAAATTGAAATTTACCATTAGTCGAGATCCATTTAAAGTCGGTCACTTAATATGCTTTTTAAATGCGACTCACAATGCGTAGATGGAAAATGAAATATCATTTCAGTTCAATAATCATAAAAAACCTCATATTTTCCCGACGTGAAAAATATCGTATTGCAATCAGTCGCCTAAGCCAGAAATATTTTGATTTGTGCTCTTGATGCATTAACTGGTTTGTTTTTTTTTTTTCTTTCATTCGTAAAGTTTCAATTACAGCACAATGACAAGACACTGTAAAATGTGGCTTTAAATAAATAAAATTGCACCAAACCAATTAATTGCGGCGACCAAATTGATAAGACAGCTCTCCCTCCGTTGACTGTGTACAGAGTACACAGGTGAATGTCAAAAACTAAATGAATGTGTCATACATAGTTTTCTGATAAATATGCAAATTTTTCACAACGTAATGGATATGTGTGAGTGCAAAAAAACACTCCTGCGGTTTTTCAATAACAACAAAAAAAAACGCAATAGTTTCTCAGAATGTTATCTGCGTAGTCATTTTCATGATTTGTTGTATTAATCCAAATGGCATGCACAGATATAAATGTTT